GTGGCAAGGCAGGAAATTCATGTCCATTCTACCACTAACGATTAAAGGAACATGTGCGTTGCTGGAATTCAAGCAATGCTGCTTCGGGACATCAGCCCAAAAAGGCGTCGAACACCGGGGGGCATCAGCGCAGTCTTCGGGCAGTGTTCTGTTCAGCGCAGCAGTGCGCTTAGTCTGTCATCCCGTCTTCGCCAGCGGCTTGCCAAATGCAGAGAGAGTCGCGACGCTTGGTGGTTGTGGTTGCGATTTATGGGTGTGGCTTCTTGTTTAGAGTTTAGAAGTACCCCGTACCAGCAACACAGTTTGCTTCTTACTTTTTTTTTACATATTATATATATATATACGCATGTATATGTTTTGTTCTTCTTTTTTTTGTTCTCAATCATATCCATCTATTGGGGTTTAACGGGGAAACCAAACACGCCACTCATTCTGGTCCACTAGTCTGAGACGAGCCTGGCATTTGGGCAGGTGATTTTGTGACCTGGCAAAAGGATTCGGTAACCTCACCGGTGATTCACTCAGAGTGGATGCTTTTGCATGGAAGTGACGTACTTGTTGGACCCAAGACTGACCTGCAGAGTTGAATTGATTTTTGGGGCTTGTGCTAGGATGACAACAGCTACAGAATTCAACATGTGAAAACAACAAAAGCCAACTGCTCAAGAGGTAAGGATACAACAGATGAAAACCGAGGCGTGGTGCCAGCCAGAAGCTTGCTTAAGGGGTTTTTCGAAAATGGTCTCAAAATGGGTTGCGTCATTGTTTCTCCCTTTGAATCCACCCAAAAAGGGGTCCACCATTTTTGAGAACCCTATGTTGCGACCTCAGAGAGGAATCGGGTTTGTGACAAACACGCCCATAGTGAAGGTTAAATTTCTTGGAGGTCCCTATTTCAGGTTGGTGAAGTATACTTCACCCAGATGGTTCTGGGAACATGCTGACATGCAGTGGCAGAACGATAGCATTAATACTCCATAAGTCAGGCTGGCAAACTGCGCAAACTCGAGCAAACCACGTCAAGGATCCGTCTTGGCACAGTGCGACGGCTCGTTTCCGTGCGCTTTACCCAAAAAGTTGCCAGTTGGGAGTCCGTGGCTCCAAGCATCGTAGGTTTTGACCAGGTCAAAGTCATTCCACTTTTTCGTTTGGCACCCAAAACACCTTCAAAAAGGAGGTTGACCTTAGCCCGAACCTTGGGCTGCGTTTTCAACATGGGCACATTCAACGTGAGTTTCCTTTAACGGTGATTCAGGTCGGGCAATGGGGGTTCTGTGCGCAGAGGAGCCGCAGTGGCCTGGGGTTCAGCTTCGGACTGTCGCCAGGTGACTTGGACCCAGACGCTCCTCTGAGGAACTGCCAGGCTGTCACACCTTGCGGGCTCATTTGCATGAATTTGCAGGAATTCACAAGCCTAGGCTCCCTAGATTGTCCCTTTTGGGCTTGAACATCACCTTCGGGTCCGTTTGGGACTGAGTTTCTTTTCAGTGGCGTGATGCTTAAGGGGGAATATATAGGGAGCCCTTTAAAACCCTCCCATTTTCAGAGGAACTCCTTTTGGGATCAACTCCCTTTGCCAGGGCAGTCATCCTCTTTGCCAACTTCCTTCAACAAAAACGAAGACGCATTTTCCCACCGGCTGAAGGCGCTCCAGACGTTTAGGGTCTGAGTTGCTTAGGATCGGCGTGTTGTTGGGTCCAAGCCTGGGGGGTGTCAACCCAAATTAGCTGGGCCCTTGTTGGGCAGCGTTAGCGGAGAATCCAAACTTTAAAGACAAGCACCGTTCTTTAAGCAATCTCCCTATATCGGAGGGCACTTTGGAGAATGCGAAAAGGTGCACGATGGCGAGACGTTTGTTTAGTGGACCCTTTCATACCCTTGGATTGCAATTGCTTTTTCCACACATTCCACGACACCCCACAGGAATTGAGATGTCTGAACTGAAGGACCCTTTGAAAGAATGGTTGAATCTCTGAAGCAAGTTAGCTGGAACTGTTGTTTGAACTTCTGGGTGTCCGTTTTAGATAGCAAAGGTGTGACTGCCTTCCGCTAGTGACGGCTGTCGGCCGCATCCGCGTGTTCAGAAATGTGCGCTGTCGTGGGTGCAGGGGTGCGGGTTGCAATGTTTCTGCGAGCCCAGAGGGACAGAGTTGATCAACGGCTTGGCCAAGTTTACGTTTGAAAGTGGCTAGCCACAGAGGTTATTACCCACTAATGTCCACCTCTGATTAATTAAATCCCTCCCCCCCCCAAACAACCGAGGTCCCTCAAACAAAAAACTTTATTTGGGGTACATTTATTATTCGTAGGTGGGCATTAGTAATTTAGTGTAGCAACAGCAATGGGTCCACTTGTGTGCGGACTTATAAGTGGGTTATCACTGCGTTCCCAAGAACTTAGTGCCTGCTCGGACCAGAGATGGTCATGACTGGCAATCATATTGGTTTAGGGACACCTTAAAGGGAAGTTTGCTTTCCCTTGCAGGAAGCGCTTTCGAAGCAACCTTGTAACATGGTTGCTGTTTTCGCATTTTGCTTTTTTTCCCTGTAGCCTTAACTTTTGGGCGGTGGTTGTTTCCGCACTAACAAGCAACCGTATCATGTGCAGGGGTCAAAGAACTCAGATTAAAGGGGGTTATAAAGAAGCTGTTGTATTCTCCCAAATTTCTCCAGGAATTCCATCCAGCCCATGACAGGAAGGAGCGATTCAACGGCCGAACCTCAGTTGAGCTTCTCTGAAAGCGCAAAGGGAGAGGCAAAGTTCCTGATGCGTCTTTACCCAATTGCTAACAGAGTCCTGGTCTTTTGGCATTGCCAAAAACTGTTTGGAGAGAAAGCAAAGACCCGCAACAGTGTAGAAGCCCGTTTGAGGTGGAACCCTTGTTTTTTTGGTTCCCAAACAGAGAGTGAAAAGGCAAGCTCTGGTAGAAAAAACCTGACTTCACAAGCAGCTCGTGTCGCACGTGAACGCCAGTTCCAATGTCTGATTTGCAGAAAGTCAAGGCGCGGATTTTGATTTTGCCAGGTGTGATGTCGGTTTCCAGTTTTTTTTCTTCTTCTTCTTTTTTTTTTTCCGGGGGGAATCGGAATGGGGAATGAATCAACTTGTGGCGTGTGGATCGAGCATCCAGCCGGGATTCATGGTGCAGTGATCCCAGGCAGGGAACGGGGATCCAAGAGGTCGCCGGGTGCTCAATGTTGACCCATCCAGTAGAACGCCTGGTTGATTTTCATCGGGAGGGTGTCCCCTTTTAGTGAGAATTCTCTTTACGGAACGCGTATATCTCTTAGCGGCAACTGGAGTCCCATCGTTCTTTTCCATGTCAACTGAAGGTTGGTTGACAAGCAAGGCCGGGGTTCAAGTTTAGGCGCCGGTGCGAGTTCCCTTCCTCTTTGCGCGTGCGGCACAGCTCATGCTATGGCACTGCAGATTCGTTTCTTTGAGTGGGCGATCTCGAGAGTTTGGTCACTGGCTTGAGTGAAGGCCATTCTCAGCTGCAAGCTTCCAACTAGGCGGTGAAGATCCTGACTGGCCAGACGGGTGTTTCCTGAACTGGCAAACACCCAAGGCCCAACAGAGATTGTGTGTAAAGGGAAGCACAAGAAGATTGAGCATTGGAAAGGAACCCTGTGCAACACTCACATGTTCCACAAATATGAGCTGCTCTTCTGAACAGACACGACATGTTTCAAGTCCGGGAGTGGACTTGTGAAAGCGACATGGTTTCAGTCTATTCTTGGCAGGCCGAAACCAACTATCGCCTTGGCTCAGTTTTCGCCCGTGTCAAAGGGTGCCAATTGCCAAGGGCGAGTTCCAAGGGGATTCACGATAAGAAACTCACCGTCTCGACTGACCACTACGTAGGTCACAAGGTTTAAAAGCAGGAGGCTTGGGATAGGGTCTTGAAATTTCACTCACCGAGTTTCGGGAATATTTAGGATGCAAAACTAGGGGATTGTACCCTACCCCTTCAATTCATGTTCTTCTCACCGTGTTTTGCAGGTCTGTTTTGCAGGCCGCGCCGTGTTTTGAGGGTGCCCCATTTTTAGTATTGTTGGGGAGTGATTAATAAAGGCCCCCCCCTTTCAAACGAATTGGGGGGGTCAATAGCGAGAACCCCCAAAACAAAATGGGGGTCAGACTGGGACCTGCCTGAGTAGTTTTCCAGTAAGTATTGTTTAGAATTGGTTTAGTATTGGTTTAGTATTCCTTTGAGCTGGCTCACTACGGTTTAGAATTGGTTTAGTATTAGTTCAGTATTCTTTTCAGTTGACTCACTACAGTTTAGAATTGGTTTAGTAGTGGTTCTTCTTCTTGGCAGGCTGCCCTGGCCATTTTTTTTTCACAATTCCCTACCCTTAAACAAACTGCATTATTGCCTTCCTGGGGGTTCCGTGTGCCACCCCCTTGAAAATTTGTCAGGGTGCATCTTCTAGTAAAGGGATTGATAAGGAATTTGGTGGTTTGGGACAGGAAGCAACCCAGAGATTCTGGACATTTCTGGCTGTATCTGAGAACAGCAGGGCTTTCTTCTTGGCAGGCTGCCCTGGCCATTTTTTTCTTCACAATTCCCTACCCTTAAACAAACTGCATTATTGCCTTCCTGGGGGTTCCGTGTACCACCCCCTTGAAAATTTGTCAGGGTGCATCTTCTAGTAAAGGGATTGATAAGGAATTTGGTGGTTTGGGACAGGAAGCAATCCAGAAATTCTGGACATGTCTGGCTGGACTCAAACGTTTCAACCCTCAAACATATTCCATTCTTGGAAGGGGAGATATTTTCAGGATTTCGGGCAGATTTTTTTCTGTAATACCTACCCTTTTTGCTTTTCAGGAGAGTGAATCATTTTGAGATTTGTTTTCTGTATTCACTCCCGTTTTATTAATCGCTATCAACCATTAAGGGCACACCGATACGCGATTTTGGGGGTCCCATTCCCACGAAAAACGACGAGCCACCCATATTCCTTCGGGTCAGTCACGCCATTTCACGGCGCTAGGTGTGAGGCCAGTGGCCCCCCAGAGGCGCATCACGGAAAACGGGGTCCATGTGCAGGATTGACCGGGCGAAAATGAGCGGCTTCCCCTGACAATGTGCTCCTTTGTTGTTTTTCTGGGCGATTTATTTGACTTTATCCTGAAATGGGCGGTTTCCCCTGGAATGGGCGGTTTCCACTGAAAATGGGTGGCGTCCTCTACAAATTTGTAGTTTGCTGTGAAGACTGGTGGTTTCTACTCCAAAGGAAACCAAAAGGGGATGATCAATTGTGCAAGTTTTCCAGACCCCAATTTGGCATCCAGTTACGCAATGATTTTCAGCATTCGCCTGTCCTGTGTTTGTTGACGAATGCACAAATGAAAAGGCGGGTTTGAATGTGTTGTTTGTGTTGGACGCAAAAGTCAATCCCGGCATTGCGGCATTCCCATGTAGTGCTTGCTTCAGGATTCGATCACAGACTTTTGCGGGGAGGTTTTTGTGATGGCATGGCCGAAGGCAATGATCAAGTTCATCCTCATGGTGAACAAGCAGGGCCAGACCAGACTGGCCTTTCGGCTGCATATGCGCCTGGAATGTGTATGATATTGCCTGCACATCAGGACAGGATCAGAGTACTGCTTTCCTTGGAAAGCGACACCTTCTGCCATTGCTCTGTGCACAACGAAAACTGAACAGTGCTGCCCGTGCATTGTTTGGACAACAGGCAATCCTTCGTTGCTCTGGGAAGAGCTTTCCAATTTCACCATGTGAATATATACATGATTGGCATTGCTGCACGTGGAATCCAGCCGCAATGCTACGATTTGCCAAAGCAAGAACCATGTTGGGGGCAGGTCATATGCCGTCCCTCTCGCGATGGCTCAACTGACGGGTCCTCGATTCAAGCACTGGATCCTTTTTGATACTCTTGTTCAACTTGTTGCTTATCTTATGGCGAGCACCGTGATGGTCCTTTACTTGAGGATTCCTCGATTCAGGTTTTGGAACAAAAATATGCAGACATCTCCTACAGATTAACATGGACCCCACAGAAACCACCATTTGTAGGATAAATTCATCTTGGCAAAAGCCTCCTCCTTTTGGGTTCTGTGTGAATTCGCCTGCCGCGAAAAGTTGTCTTCATAAGGCGGCACCTCGGGCTCGGTTCAAAGCGGAACCGGCAGGCCCAGTACTACGACTTCCTGAGTGTCCGCGAGCGTGTGACCCTGGAAGGCGAGTTGATCCGCAGGGAAGCCAAGCCGGAAATAGGAACAGACCACATTGAGCGCCCCCGAAACCCCTAAAGATCCAATTGAGTAGCTGAGTAGCTTCTACTACCTCGCTTCGCACAGGAGTTCCTCCTAGCAGCTGCAAAAAGGGTTCTGCCTGGTTTATGGGCTATATTCAAAGCTTTGCAACCATCTTGGTACCAAAAGACATGGGTGTGTATTTGTTTAAGTGTAGCCTTTTTAGGGAATGCCACCAGCTTGGAGGGTGGATGGAGGTGGTCATCAACCTGGAGGTTTTGGACAACCAATGGGAAGATTCCTTTCTGGGAACCGTGACCATGACCCAGAGATTCGGAGTTTTCACCATGCAACGCACGCGAAGGGAACTGGATTTGTCCAGTGTATGATTGGTTTAGTTGTAATTGTTTGTCGCAGGCTTCCTTTGAAATTCAGCCAAGACAGATAGCCGGCTTTTTTTCCAGTAGCAACTTGCGACTGAGTAACTTAAACTTCTTGAAGAATCCGGAGTAAGTGGGAACTAAAGGTTCAGGACAAGAACGGTCAGTTTGGGTTGCAAAACATGGATTCCACTATTTCAGGTTTGGTTCGCATCATTGCCAATGCCAATATTTCCGAAAGGACATTTAGGACCCTTCATGCACTTGCCTGGACCCTTCCTCATGTACCAAAGAAGCAATGGAACAAACACATCCCCAGGAAAAGGCATGACCTTCGGAAGACACCTACTCAAGTAGTTTTTGGTTCTTTTTCCCGGCTTATGTCTGGCCCCTTGCAGTAATTATTCAAGTCATGTTTGCCCTCTGCAAAGCGGCGAATATTTGTGAAGCAAGACAATAATGATGCATCTGGGCAATTCTATCGACGCAAGGAGCGTTTGCGACCTCACCCAGAAGGAAGGTTCCTTACTTTAGGGTCCCTATTTCAGGTGTTTGAGTCATGGTATTCAACTTGCCCAACAACAACAACAACAACAACTGATGACAAGCGCAAAAACAACTCGCTATTCCCGCTTGTGCATGTGTTTGGGCGACCACGATTCAAGCCAGGCACCAGCTATGCTTGGTGAATTGATAAATGGTGAACTGTTGTCCATCACGTATCTTCCAAATGGGTGTGTCTTTTACGGGAACCCTTTTGGGGGTTGTTTCAAATGGACATCAACAGAAACTAAGCATTGTGTGGGTTCCAATTCCTGTTCTGCCACAGGAGTGACATCTCTAAGACAAAGACACTCAAACGGGTGAATGGCTGAATGGCCTAGCTCCAATCCATCCCTTTGCTTCTGCCCCGAGGCAAATGTCTCTCGCGAAGTGAGAGCCAATGCTCCTTCGTTGAGTACAGAGACTACCGCGTGGTCTACAGGCCGCGCAAAAAGAATCTCCGGACGGATTCGCAGATCGCAGGCTCGAGGTCCTGTTGAAAACCTGCGCGTTGGGGTGGGAGAAAACTTGCTGGGTAACATCTAAATGGTTCGCCTTGGTTGGCAGATCATGTGCTAGTTCACACGTATTGTATAGCCCTGGAATTTGTGGGAGTGAGGGTGTTTCCCAGTTCTGTGATACCAGGGGATCGCAACCTTCCTGCAAGTGAAGAACTCGGAAGGCCGAGTCTTCTTGATCAACCCTACAGGACAGAAAGGCAACTTTTGAACATGCTGAAGGCTTGTTGCTTCGAACAGAAACCAAAAGGGCCCCCGCTTTGAGTGAACTTAGGACGTACTCAATTGCACTGTTGATCCACACCTTGAACTGGGAGAATGGCATTGAACATGCTGACGGATTGAATAGCGATTGTGGCTGACGGGTTTCATCTCGTTGGATATTGACCCTCCAAGAAGCTTGCATGGCATTTCAGGGACCTGCCTTCTCTAAAAGCCAAACCCCCCAGATCCATGTGTCTTGGAAGGGCAGTGTTTTATGGAGGCATCGAGCTGACCCCTTGAGGGGGTGGGGGAAGGATAGACAAACCTTACGGTCCCGAGCCTTGGGATTCAATAGCCAGGCGCTATGCGTCCTTGTACTTCATTGCTGGGCGCCCGGACTCCGTCCTTTCCGTCCGCGTCAGACCAATGCGAAGGCCCTGCGAAGGAAAATCAACCAGCGCCCAACTGCTTTGTCCCATGTCCACAACCCCAATTCTCACTAAACCGAATCGACCGGATCTAAGCTTTTGGTCTCCCTTTGGGATCATTGTTAGTTAAGCTTTCAAAATGTTAACCTGTTATTTCCAGGTCCTTTGGGCAAGTAAGAACCACGTGTCCTTAGATGTGGGGGGGGTGCTGCAAACAAACCAGCAGGAGCCTTGTTACCGTCTTCTCCTAAGTGCGATGTGAAGAATGTCTGTTTCACTGCTTGCAACCCGTGGGGGATGTTCCCCGCACTCCCCGAGTTCGGGAAGACCATTTCAATCTTAGTGGCAAACAAAAAATCAGACTTTGGCCAATCCGCAGAGGAAGTGAGTGCCCTTTGATCGTTTCACCAGCCCATGTTTACCATGCGGCTGTCCAACCCCCACAAGTCATGTGAATGCAACTAAGGGAGCGTTGCTGCAACTAGCACTCCAGCCATATGGAACCAGCACTCCAAGGCAGGATTCTTTTTAGACAAAAGCTGCACAAAAGGCTGAACCTTTTGGGGGGTCATGGTTTAGCATAGTGTCCAAAACAGAGCAAAAAGGGGACATTCAAAACCAAATCCCCAAACGACTGCATGACTGCTTGTTTGAGACAGCCAGTGAAAGCGCACTCCGCGCGCTCCCTTTGCGCTCAAGCTTTTGGCCAAAATGGGTGGGTGCTTCACTCCACCGCCCGGTTCTGAGCCGCGGCTTTTGCCACCGCGCGCGCCTGACGGCGGGGCGAGGGCGTGACAGTAACAAAGAAAAAACAGGCCTGCTTGATGGTTTTCCCTTCGCGCATAGCGGCGTGATAGAATCGAGAGTACACATTGTTGTAGTCCGTCTTCAACTCTTTTTTCTTCGGCGGGCTCTTCTTCATAGGGGTGCTTTTCTTCGTGTCTCTCGCGCGCCTGACCTTGGGCTCTGGGGTCTCCATTTTTTTGCGCTTGGGGCCCTGCGTCTTCTTCTTGGGGGTCACAGTCTGCGTCTTGCAGTTTCTACTGTTTGCTGCTTTCGTCTTTGGGGAAGGAGTTGACTTGGCCATTGTCGATGTCCGCTTGCGTCGAGGCCTTGGAACGGCACGGCACTTCAAGATATTTGCTGGACTGCAAAATACACCGAGGCTGCGGCGGTCCAATATTGGCTTGATGCTCAGGAGCTTTCGGTGGAAGAGGTGGGCCAAAAACCTCAGCGCGAAAGGCGCAATATGCCAACTATGTTTGCCAACCACGCCTTCTCGGGAGTCAAAGCATCAGAGTCACTGGCAGAAGGCTTGACCAACTCGTCGGCCTGGCAAGCACCCATTCGGCACACCACTTCTTTTTTGAGAAAAAAGAACAACAGAATCTTCTTTGAAGTTGGGCACTGTAGCAGTGTAATCTGGTCATTGCTGAGGTTTTGCAGCTTGCAAGAGGAGCGCCTCTTTGATTTGTTCCTCTTCTTCTGCGGTGCTGGAGCAGGTAGGCAGGCCCTTGGCTGACCCAAAGCACTGAATGTTTCCGTTAACCACATTAAGGCTGAAGCGTCCAAGGTAGGCTCAGGGTAGACGCGGTCGTCAGCGTCAGCAGCCAAGGTGCACAACGGCGCCTCCGTTGCTGTGTTGCAGGCTGGCTCCTGCGGAGGGGGCGGGGGGGAGGGGCGGGGGGGAGGGGCGGGGGGGAGGGGCGGGGGGGGGGGAGGGGGGCAGCAGAAAATAAAGCAAGCTGCGCCCAACAAAGAAAAGCTGAAACTCAAGCCCAGCCGCTTTTTTGTACATCCAATCTTCGCAGCTGGTACACGTTAATTAGGGGTCAATCCAGTCAAAATACTGTGCGCAGGAACGTCTAAACATTAGCTTACTCTTTTGTTTGCAAGGGCAGGGATGCACAGTCTCTGTACTAAAGTTTGGTGAGTCAGGCTCATCATTATCATCAACATCAACCGGTCTCAGCTAGTGTAGCTGCAGCTTGGGCTGCATTTGAATGGTAGTGTCAAGGAGCGCCGAACCACCTGCAGTTTTCCAGCCACATGGGCTGAAGTGAGTAGGTGATGACAATGCCAAAGTCTCTGGCCATTCATCAGGCTCGGTGGGTGCTTCGTGGCAGATGCTAAGCTTGATCTTTTTGGCAGGGGGGGCCCATCAAAGAGCGCATCTTACAGTGTGGAATCTAGCGCCACTTGCTCAAGACCTTTTCCGTGGCATACAAGGCTCTCAGTGCTGTCCCCTTCACGCTGTGGATGTGACCAGGGTGCCATTGCAACAGCTTTCCCTAAATACTCGGCCACCTACACCCTTTGCTAGAGCCACAAAAAGGAAAAACAACATCATGGTCAGGGATTTCCTTTTTTTTTTTTCCGAATCAGAGAGGTTCGCAAAACATAGCGATAATTCAGTCCTGCAGCTGCTCGAGATGATCCAGCACAGACCCACCAACCTCAGGAAAATACAGGGAACTGCGGTTCTATTCAACTCTGGCATGTAGAAAAACAAATGTTAACCAGTTGCTGTGTCTGTGAGGTCAGAGTTTCAAGATGGTTGGTTTCCCCTTGCAAAGATCATGAGACCAAAAAGCGCTTTTCGGGCGGCTGGCATTGGTAGGACAATCTCTGAGCTCCTCACGAAGCCGTCGTGATTGATGGCAGCCACCTGCAGGCCAGGGCGGGGGAGCTAACATGCACGTTACGTTAGATGGAGTTGGGCGTGCCTTGTCGGACTCCTGAGAGCTCTGAACCACAATCTCTTGGGCCGCTCTCTCTGCAGCAGCCGCTAGTTCAAAGGCTGCATCCAGCTGACTGCTGCCAGCGGATTGTTGGCTTTCCTTGCTCTCTTCTGACTGCTGCGATGTCCCGCGGCGTTTGCCTGCTTTCTTGTCTTTTTTCTTATGGGACTTCTTCCTGCCACTTGCCTTTTCTTTCTTGCCACGGGTTGAAGCTCGGCCTCGCTTCTCTTTTGGTTGCTCATCTTCCTCCAGTCCTTCCTCATCTTCATCCTCATCATTGTCGTTGTTGCCCTTGGACTTTCCAAGCATTTCCAACTCAGCATCATCATCTTTCTTTGTTCTCTTCGAGCTTTGTTTGCTCTTTGCAGCTGCCGGCCTTTTGAGCGGCTTGGGTTGGCCCTCATCTTTGTCACCTTGATCATCTGAAGAACTGCGGGAGGCTGAAAGGTCACAGCGTTGGAGCGGACCTTTTCCTGGCAGGCGAATGACTACGACGTGCTGAAGCCTGGAGGCCACGACCACTGCACGCAGCGCGCGCGCGCGCGCCTTCTTCGGCCTTGTCAGCAGCTTTTGGTTTCAGCTTCGGCTGTGGCTTGGGAGAGGGTCGCGGTGGAGGTTCAGTCCCTTCAATAAGGGCAGCATACTCTGACATAGAGAACGCAGGGCTCACTACGAAATTACCGGCAGAGCCGGCGCCAAAATCCCCAAACATGGCGCGCGACCCAAAAAATGCAGAGCTAGTGAACCTGGATGGGCAGGCACGCACCGAGTCACTCGCACAATCCACGCACACAATCAAAGAAAAAACAAAACAAACACACAAACAAAGAAGTAGACGAAAAAGAGACAAACAACAAAATATACCAACCAACCAACCAACCAACCAACAACCAGCCAACTAAACAACCAAACAATCAATCAGCCAAACAGTCAGACCAGCCAGCCAGCCAGCCAGCCAGCCAGCCAACCAACCAACCAACCAACCAACCAACCAAGAAACCTACAAACAAACCAACCAACCAACAAACCAACAAACCAACCAACCAGCCAACCAACCAACCAACCAACCAACCAACCAACCAACCAACCAACCAACCAACCAAACAAACACACACACACAAACACAAACAAACACAAGCAAACACAAACAAACACGCACCTCAACACACAACAAGGAAAGCAAGCAAGCAGACAAAGTTCAAACAAACACACAAACACACACACACACAGACAAAAGACACACGCTACAGACACCGACACGAGCACACGCACACGCACACCCAAGCCTGCGCACGCGCGCGCACACACACACACACGCACGGACGCACGCACGAACGGGCGGATGGACGGATGTGCGCGCCGCACACACACACACACACACGCGAACGCAGCCACACACACGCGCGCGCGCACAAGCTCGCACGCACGCAAACACCAAAAGGTGTATGATGCAGACTCATCGCCCTGCAAGTGCAAGCTCATTTCATCACGCTTGCTTGTTTCAGCAGGGGGAGGTCCCCAAGCTCCCAAAAAGTATGCGCACGATTTGGACCACACACCACGGTGTGTGGCCACAAGCAAACAGTTTAGCCAAGGTCAAGCCTCAGCTAGCATCAACATCGGCTTATGGTTAAAGGGGTACATCAAAGTGGTCCCGTGGTTGAAATGCATTTAGATTTCAACAAGGGAAGCCCAAAACCAGCAACTACAACGGGTGGAGTCGTTTCCTAGATGCTCAAGCTGAAGGCTGTGGGACCTTGCTGGTGACCCCGGTATGCTACATAAGTTGCAGCGCTTGGTCTGGCTTCAGTGAGATGCTTCCAGCTAGTGCAGCGCAAGGCCGCACTGGCACAAGCTGGGACACCACGGAATCGCCAGCCTCGGTGTGGAGCCTGGCTTTGACAGCTGGCGCCGAATTGCGCCTTCTTTGTGAGAGGGTCAAAACATGGCAGCTTAGCCGGAGGCGCCATATGATCTGAATGTTCTTGGATCCACGCGTCTTAGAGAAGTCCATCTTTGCACCGAAGCTGAGGGCGTTTGCTGCCTGCGACCGAAAATCAGCCCTAAACTCAACCTGCCTCGACACCCTTTAGGCTCTAGCGACTTTGAAGTGATCCCTGCCTTAGGCTTTTTGCGCTTGCGCTGCTTGACTGCGTCCAGCACGAAACATACTTCTTCGGCTGGCTCGATGGTGAAAGAACAAGACTCATCCTTTTTGAGCCTGTGCTCTGCAACTTCAATGTTTACTTCCCCAGAGTCCTCGAGGGCCTTCAGCAAATCACCCAGGCCCAGAACCTGTGGCAGCACAAAAGCATGATTTGTTTCTTGCGAAAGGGTACTAATTACCTGGCCTTGTTCCAAAAGGTCTCTTCCGCCAAGTGTTCTGGAACCTTGCGCTGTTTCTCCAAAATCACAGGGGTGTTGGCGTCAGGCAGGCTGAACTTCAGCCACCTGCCCTCAGCAGACACATCTGTCATGATGTCAGCTGCTTCAGTTCCCTTTGCAAAGTCTCCACTCCCGTAACCCCATAGTTCGGAGCCCTGCTCTGCAGTGTGGGCTGCGGAGGCACACATCCAAACAGAGCTGTCGCTGAGGCAAAGGGCCAAGGAGAAGTGGCCACAATTCAGGGTGAGCCTGCGCAGGTTGCAGTGTTAAGGGCCAAGTTCCTTCAAAGGGTTCTTTCCACTTTCCAAGGATCAAAGAGGCTCAAATATTTCAAGTTGGGGACCCTTAGCAAGCCGTCTTTGTTTTCTGACCCAAGCAACCTTTGTTGTTGGCGGCGGGCCTGAATCCACACTTGTCTAGGCAAGCCGTATTTGGGTAACGATTTTAAAGGAGTCAAAATAGGCCACGTTGCCCTTAGATACTTTTTTGTGTTGCCCCATTGGGTTCGTTCTCGGAGGGCTGTCCAATGGTTTGGTCGCGCGCGGTTTGGTAACATATATGGCTGACCCCCAAACTCCCGCCTGTCAGTGTACTCGGTCTCAAGCTCTGACACTGTCTTGGCCGTGCCAAGGCACAAGCGCTTGGCAGGAGGCTGAGCGGCAGAGGATTCAGGGTCTTCTGGGTTTTCTTCTGCGCCGCGCTTCAAGTTCTTTGGGTTGAACTCTTCGTTGTGTTGGTTCACCAAGCTGTTCATTCGGTCAGCGAAATGTTCCTTTCGACTCCAGAATTCTACGAGGGCTTGCTTGATCACCAAGGCTCCCTCCAAGCCCACACACACTTGAAACTCTGGCTTTGGGGCCCGCTGAAACTGCTTGAGCTCGGTTAGGGCGCCGCCGAAGTCTGGAAATCCCTCGATCCGCAATTCTTTGTTGCGGGCCATTGCAAAGAGCTTGGTGGCAATAGTCAAAGACACAAAGTTTGCCTCAGCGCTTGAGTGGCACACTGTGGCCACTGCCCACTTCTTGCCTGGGCTGGCCCAATCACAAACTGATGGTTTTCGCCTTTCTTCTAATCAATACCATCAAAAGCAACCAAAGAGCCACGGGCATACTGTGACAGGACATAGGAAGCTGACCATCCATCATGTCCCATCATGTCAAGAAGAACGGTTGGCATGTCCGCTGACTGCGGCGATAATCCCTCCATAATCTTGGCAATGAAGGAAAGCCCTCCGCAGTACTCAGGGTTAGGGCAGTCTTTGTGTGTGTGTGTGTTTGGGTTTGTGTTTGTGTTGGTATGAACATGGAGTAACGAAAAGCATCAGCAGGGAAAAACGTTCACCTCAGTTTCTGGTTAAAAAAACACTGCACAAGTGGAAAACCGCCGTCCTGTTTCATCTCCTGCACTTTGGTAAATCGCGTGTCGGCACCGTATTTTGACGCCGGCCGTGGTGGTTTGACCATGTCTGAGCGAGATAGCATCGCAATGCCTGTCGCAATTCCAGTTCTCCACAATTTGCTTTTATGGAATTGGTTGGATTTGTCGCTGCGCGTGACGAGGATGATGTCTTGGAAACCACTGCGGTTTCCATAGATCGAGGCTGGCTCAAAGCTAGCAACCGCAGGCCTCACCTGAATCAAGCTCAGGACTTGAGCAAGTGGGCGCTAGCAAAAGAACAACATGCAACAGGCAGGCAAGCATTCCATGAAGGCAAAGTCGCTTTGAGCCCCCTGTCTTTCTCCATGAAGAGACACCGAAGATTGTGATTGAAATCTCGCAAAATCGTTTCCGCGGATGCGTCCTTTGCATCCCCATCGATAGATTCAGCTGTTTCGTCGCGATCCCCTGGGCGGAAAACAGTGGGAAAAACGACCAAATCCAAACAGAAACCGGTTATGTTCATGAATCCTCTCCCAAACAACAGATCAACTCACCCCAAAAGTTTCAGGGGTATGAATGGGGATTTGACGCAGAAACGATGTTTTGGGTTGAGTTGACCTTTTTTGACGTTCCCCCTCGCAAGCCTTCAGCATCCGCAGGTTGCTCCTCATCGCTCTCTTCGGGAGCCTCAGCCTTCACCTCAGACCTGGGCGCAGGGCTTTACTTTACCATGAAAAGAAAGTACTCACCAAAACATATGGGTGGCAATTGACTGAGCGCGCTACTTCACAGTGGAACGGATGTCGCCGGCACGGTTTGGTAGCACCACGACCCCCACAAAGCTGGTTGGGTGGTTGTGACAAAGTGTCGTCATCTGTTGTAGGACAAACAGCACCTTGCTTTGGCTGACCACGCCCTGTGAAGCAAGGTTTGCATACCCGACCAGGCACTCGTTCTGATGGCGCCTGATGCCCCCATTGAGGCCGGCTAGAGTTTCCGAAATCCAGGGCTGGAGGCGCGCCTCCACCAAACCGCTGGTGTCAACTTCCGCATCAGGACCTAGCAAAAGACTGTTTTCTGTTTCCACTGGAAAAACACAGCTTTGGCCACTCACACTGAATGTTTTTCAGGGCGCCTGTGGCAGTTATTGCCTTGCCAGATGGCACCCCGTTGCACCAAGTGGGCGCGATATCCGACATGGTCTGGTTCACGAGCTTCCATGCTGTTTGATGCATTTTCTGACAGGGTGCCAGGGGTTGACAATAAAAATTCCTTTGTGAGAGAAACGCATCACACTTTCATGTGCGCTTTCCCTGAAGCTCCTTGAATGTTTTAATGGCTTTCGAGGCACATGGAGCCCCAAGGCTTCCCCACCACAGCGCCTCGAGCGAGCTGACCAAGGCGGCCCGGGCTCTGGTTTCATCCCCCGTGGAGGCCAGCAGATAGCGGCGCTGCTTCAGGTGGTCACTTTCAAGGTTCGTTTCGAAAAGGGAAAACCCAGCTTGAAGAGAGTTTTGCAAAGCACTGTTGACTTTGGATTGGGCGTTGCATACTTCTCGTTCCTGGACTTTGCCTTGGGCCTCCAAGATGAAGCTAAGCTTGCGCCAGTCCCAACCAGGCTCCATAGCTTTTGAGTGAGCCCTGAGCTCGGCATCCAAGGACCTGAGACAGGTATGAAGTTATGTTTAACGGTCCTGGTTTGCCAAAGAAGGATTTGGTGTTGATCCAGTCATGAGTTACTCGCAGACTTTTCCAGGGATAGAATACACGGTTCTAATGTTGTTCCAAGGGATTCAATACACGGTTCTCATTTTGTTCTCAGGGCTTGAGTACACGGTTCCATGTTGTCCCAGGGGTTGCGTACACGGTCCTGATTGAAGAACACCCAACCGGTTGAAGGGACAAGCTTATCTTCAAAAGCCAGTCAGGACTCAAATACACGGTTCTGGTGGCGGGGCTCAATTTTCCAGGGATTGAGTACCGCGGTTTTTAAAAACCCATGTATCTTTTCCCTGGGTGGACCTCTTGTAAACCTAAATTCAAAAAGAGTGCAAAAACAAGGCTGGCAGCGTTCAATTCGACAATGCACCGGTTTTGTAAAACCGGTGTATTGTGGAATACTTGGGGACCAGGGGTGGTGTATGTTGCTTTCTTTTCCAAAATGGACTGGGAATCCCTTGCCCCTTTGTGAAAACCCTGGCAGTACACCGGAATTTCAAAACCGATGTACAAATCAGCCCCGGGATTTGGGAGCCAGAAATACACTGTTTTCTCTAGAAGAAGGCAATGAGTCACAAAAAGAAGCCGTAATTAGTCAATCTAAAGAAGACTGGCCTCAAACTGGCCCAGTGGCCCGGAATTCCACATAGTTGTGATTTTCTCGAGGTCTGGCCCATCACCAAGCAAGGCCTTCATGGGAGTGTAGATCTGCTGCCACAAGCAAGTGATCTCCATCAGGTCTTGCATGGCAGTAAGGTCGCGCTGGGCCAATTTCTCAGGGAGCTAGTTTCACAAACAACCCTCAAACTTTTCCTTCAGTTGTCCAGGCCTTCTGCTTGGACTGTGAACTGGGCGGGGCTTTCCTGTAATGATCAGCGCATGCCCTCTTTGCCCAAAGCAGCGTTCTCTCCGAGGTGACTGTCTGACAGGGCAGGCAAATGGAGCCCAGAAACAATCAGCTTTTACAACCTGGCCTTGGCTTCTCTCCAGAAAGGGTCGGTCACTTGAGCGCTGCACAGCAGAGAGCCAGGCACGAAGAACTCCCCCATGTTGTCGAGAGTCAGTGCTGGCAGAGGCCGGGCAGGGGGTCAAAAAAACTCAAGGCAAGGCAAGGCCTGACTCTGTCCACTTGTAGTTGTCTGACAGCTCGCGGAGAAGTGTCAGCAGTTCAGGCGGGCATCGGAGTAGTCCATATATCAAGCGTTTGAGGTCATCCTTTACCTTGAATGCCTAGCAAAGAGCAACAGACACCAAGTTCTAACGTGTTTGTCAAGCCCCACCTTCTGGGCAACACCGCGGTTGTACTCTGCAATTGAAGTGAAGAGGATGTCCCGAAGGGATGCTGACTTGTTCCCCAACCGTTTCATCCTTACTGCCTCACGAAAAAAGAGAGACAGCTCTAGGGGGCCGGGCTTGGCCTTTTCGGCTGTGCGTTGCGCCAAACCTGGGCGAAAGGCAAGGGCTTTTCTTCCCCAAAACTAGGGTCTGGGTCCCTGACTGAGAGCTTCATAAATGCATTGCTCTGGTGCGTCATGATGGGTGTAGTTAGCACGCAAATACTTCAAGGAAGCAATCAGCTGACAAGCCTCTTTGTCATTTGCGACCTCTTCGGGCCCGATTCCCTTAGGCGAAGCAAGGGGCCACAGGAAAACAGGACAAAGTGTCGTTAGACTGCTTCTCATTCTTAGGCATGTTTAAGGAGAGCGCGCAGTACTCAAGCAGAGCAAAGATACACTGCACCATTACGCCTTTGGCATGCCCATCGATGTATTGCACGCAATACAATGGTAGATCTTTGCCGTGAAGATCAACCGGGAACTTGATCTCCAGGCTCTCCTTTTCAGACTGATAGCCAGCTTGGATGACCGACGGCAGGTGGGTCCGGATGGCAACGTTCGAGGGCCATTTCCCATTCAAGCCATATTTGGCTGCGTCTGACATGTCGAGATGCCAGGGATGAATGTACACATTCTTGCGGGTTGTGGTTGGGACCATTGTCAGCACTGGCCCCGGAGGTGCTGGGAGCTCGGCTGCCACTTGCGGCTGCGCCAAGAAGGCAAGCATGGCCTGTCGGTCATTGTTTTCGAGATTGTTGGGCCAGAGCCCAATGTGTTTTTAGTTCAAGCAGCAATGCCCGGCCCTCGTGAAGGACCGCTGAGCACCATCGTCCTTGTTGTACATCCTGTGAATGAACTCTCCCATGTTCTCCCTAGACAGGACCTGCCAAGGGAAGGCTTTGACTAAGGGTCTGCCTAGTGAGCGGTGCCTCATCCATTGCCACTAGCAGTCGTTGCTTAATGGCTTTCGGTGCATCATCCGAGCTGGCCGCTGCTGTTGTTGGAGCAGCCAGGGCCATCTCTTCCTTGAGCGAGGGGGAGGGGCAGGGAAGCTAGCCAAGCGCAAAAACTAAGCCCGCTGCTTTCACATCCTGTAGCATGGTTGCAAACCAGCAGGCCGCAGGGCGAGCTGAGTTCCAGTGAAATGGCCAGCAGGCACTGGCGCTTGTAAAGTCAACCTTTTGTTCCGACGACAAGTTGTCCACCAACAAATTGTGCAAAATATTGCTCTTTCAAGTTCGGACCCTTTTCTCACCTGTGATCTTAGTAGTAGCGGTGAAACTGAACCCTTAACCTTCGAATCACGTGAGGCTCCGGGTCGGGAAGCGCTGGTTGGCCCCTTTGAAGGGGTGGAACAGGCCCTGCAAGAATGTACTGAAGTTGGATTGGCGGTTTTCGCCTGACCGCAACTTTCCCAGCCAATTGTAACAAATAATGGGCCGCCTTACCATACTGCGGGTAAAAATCTGACAAATGCTTGGCCAGATCAGTGAGTTCTTCGGCGCGCTCCTCCTTCATGGAAATCTGGGTGCCTGGGCTTGATTGAATTCCAACGCTGTTTGTGTGAGGGCCAGTCTGTGGAAACTGCGTAGCTGTGAATCAAGAGAAGTTACAAGGGGCCGCTGGGGCGGCCAGCCGTTGGAGAGCACTGGCCATATCTACCATTTTGCACCCCGGGTAAACAAGAAGCGGTGGCTGGGACAAGTCGTGGTCCGAAACAAAGGCCTTCACGAGGCAAAAGACATCAGCATCTGTTGGGCGGTGCCACGAGGGCAGGCGCTCCTCAGCCTGGTCCAAGAGGTTGCGAGGCATACCTTGGGCACCGTGTCAGTTAGACTCGGAAGGATGTGTGGTTTTTAAGCCAGTCGTTGACAAGATACGGTCTCGTCTGACAAAGGTGAATGAGTGCGGTATGACTTCAGTATCGCGAATTGTTCGGCGTCGATAAGCTCCATACAATGAAGTCACTTTCGGAAGGGTGCCAGACCAGTTTCTGACGCTGTTGATGTACTCGACACGGAACTCCAATCCTTTTGCAGTGAAAAAGGGCGCCACCTTCTTCATTAACATCCTGAGAAAGGGCCAGCCCACACCTCCTAACGCGCACTTCAAACCAGCTGGGCTTGGGGCGCTACAATGTCCTCAGGGTGCTGCCTCGGGCGAATGGATTGAAGCGCTCGGATCCACTCAAGTTTTGACTGGCTTCAAACCCCTTTTTGCAGAGGTGTCCCAAACACTGTTTTTTGGGGACCAGAACAACTGAAACAGGACACCTCCCCAAGAAAGGCGTTTTGTTACCAAGTGACCGTTTTTGTCTACATGTAACTTAAAGCGCCAAACATGCAAATTAGCTGCATTGCGTCGTCGCCTTCCCGAATAAACTTCGACAACAGCCCAAAATAGGCATCTCAGCTGTGTCGTAAGCCCCGCTTGGCAGGGAAGGCAGTCTGTCAAAGCTTGCTTCTAGTATTGTCGAGTTCCATTTGGCAAAAGGAATGGCGGTGGACAAGATTGCTTCTAATTTTGCCAGGGTCTCCAACGTCTTCATGCGTATGACCAACACAGAGGTGCTCGTGCGAAAGTACAGTCCAGTATCCTGTGGTAGTCATTGCTGAGCACCAGCCACCAAACACGCCGTTCTTAACTTCCTCATGCGGGCAGTGGGAGCAAGAAGAAAACCCCTCATGCTAAGTAATGCAGCTGAACATCCTTTGGCGTATTATCGGCAAATACTTTGAGTACTGGAGGCACTGGTTGTTGCTTGGTCTGGTATCGCTTGTGCACTGATTCCAGGGTGCGGTTCAATGTCTCAATAACCCAGTTTGCGCCTGATGTTTGGTTTTCATCAGCAACGTAGGTGTAGAACCCAACTCCATGTACAATGGAAGTTGTTACTTCGCAGGATGGGCGTTTGACGGTTTCAATATCCTTTGGAGCGCGTCCCTGATGGTAGCGGGGCAGCGCATACTTCCCTTTGTCCATGCTATCTGTGATGATGCACACAATGTCTCCTGATGTTTTGGCTCGGGACCTGCATGCCCAGTAGCATGCCCGGTCGGAGAACTGCCCTGCGAGGTGGCGGAGAAGGCGGTCACAGGCATCTGCGTGCTGCTGGACACCGCTGGCATGTTTTATCTGTGATTTGAGTTGATGGCATACGGCACACTTGGAGTGCGAAGAGGGTGGGCTGAATCGAATAACCTTTTTCCACCCAGACTCGATCAAAGTGCGGTAGAATGTAGATGATGAAGCAACAGGTTCACCAGCTGAGGCTTGGTGAGCACAATACAAATGATAAAGGTCATTATACTTTCCATTTGGCAGCCACCGGCGAGGAAGGCCCTGTGGACCACTCTTTAGAATACCCCCTGCAAGGTCGCTCTCCAGAGCGCTGTCCATCAATGTTTGGAGTAGCTTCTCTCGTTGTTGGGCAGTATCAAGGTGTTCAGATCCACGGACCTCCAACCTTTGGGTGAGAATAACAAATGTCCACCCCAACTCCCATGAAAGCGACCAAGTAGCTCGTGTGGAAGAGTTTCACCTATGCTCCAATAGATCTTCTCAAGAAATGAACTTACTGAAGCAGCAGCCAGTGCTGCCCGAGATCCCACTGAACCTTGGAAGGGGCCAACATTTGTTTGAGGAGCCGCAGGCAATGATTTGGGAATTTGGGGCCGCTAGAACAATTTTGGTCAAGTAGCCGAACTTCCGACCATCCATGCCCTTGAAGCTTTTCCGCGTGCGCACAAGGCGCCACCCTCCAATCCCCAGGATTCGAAGAAAAGCTTGGCGACAGACGGGGTGGCCTGTCCAGATCAGTGAGAACCTATTGCACAATCACTCTTTACACAACAACTATAACTCATCATTTCCCTTCAAACATGACAGCAGCACCTTCAATGGACCATGATGTTTTGTGCCTGTTTCTGCTTGAACTAGTGCAACTGGACCTTCCAGTGGATGAGTAGGAGTAGGAGTCTGAGTCGGAGTCGTCACTTGAATCCGGGTCATCACCCGCACTGCTGCATGCTCCACAGCATGCAGTCTTGAGCTGCTTTTGGCAAAGACCACCAAAGCAAGACAACCTTCATGACTAACATGAACGGCAAGTTGCGCTTGCACTTGCCACGGCAGCAAGGCTCAGCAAGAGCCTTCTTGACACGGTCCTTGTTCTTTCCCTGTTTTGAAAACATGGATTCCCTCTGTGAGGTTTCCCCATCATCCAACATGCAAAGCTGGCTCAGCAAAAGCCCGCTGCTTTGCAGGACTGGCGCTCGTGAGCTGGGCCCCGGCTTGCTGGAAGAGGTAGAGGAACTTGTTGGCTCAGAGCAACGCTTCCTTTTGCAGGGTTCATCCGCACTGGAGTCACTAGAATCGGGAGCTTCGAAGCGCTTCATGTTCCTGAAGTCTACCACCAGCCTTTGAGCCACCACGTGGCAAAACAAATCACTGCTCACATGACACTGGCAATTTTTGCGGAGGTCAGCAAGCTGTTTTTTCACCCACGCCATTTCACGGAGTGCAAACAACCTAGTTTCCACCCTGGTGAAGTTTTCTCATGGCTTGCTTGTAGAAAGCTCTCGGGTCCACTGCGTTCAAAGCAGTAAGAAGCGCTGCTGCTGCCGACTTGACATGCACGGCCTCAGCTAGAAGCTGTTTTGCAATGAGCTTGCCTGCTAGTAAGGCCGGCGCGTTGCCTGCCAATGAATGTAGTTCCTTGGGGTAGAAAAGCAAAAAACATATGACGTTATTTGCCAATTTACCTAGAGTGTCTTCCTCTTCTAAGTGCTGCAGCTTCAGCCGATGGATGGGGAATGATTGGCATATGAATTTCTCCACCCCTGGGCAGGGTAGGGCGGGTCAGGGGATAAGGGACCATCGACACATGAGCCTGCCTGTCAGTGGGCGACCAGCATGAAGGCTAAACAGTACAGCTTTCGGTGTAACACACGGGATGAAGCGGGGATCCTTCACAGCCATTCGCTCAATGCTTTGGGAGGTGTTCACAGTTCTGCGGGTCCCAGTAGTCTCATAGATGTCCAAAGCCTTGGCGTGACACAACATGCTGACACAGAAGAGGATCAAGCAGGCAGGCTTTCTCTCAAGCTGCGAAGCGTGCAGAACGCGCTGGCGCGCAAAGAAGCTGCGAGCCGGCTGGCACATCTTGAGCTGTTGCGGGTTCACCTCAAATTCGCTGCAGTATCAGTGTCTTGTTTTGCGATTGGGCTGGCCTCCATAGTCTTCATTGCGGACCAGTGTTTGGCAGGCCACTTAGGCCTCTTCATCCTCGGCCTCGGCAAAGCTAAACAAATAAAGTGTGGTTGCTTTTTCAGGGGAACCCTCTCCCTCCCCCCCCCCCCCAAAAAAAAGGTGGGTGGGAGAGTTTTCGCCTCATGCTTTGTCAAGGCACTTGGTTTTCAGGTTGATCACAGCTGAAGCCGGCTTTTCCCGCACCTGCTTCTTGAGTCTTCGCTGGATGTGCTGCAGGTAGGGGCAGTGCGCTGGCAGCATCAACTGTCCTGGGCAAGGGATAAGTCTACATAGTGGTGTATGGGGGTATGGTCAAATAAGCGCGGTGCGTTGTGACCGCATGCAATCCACTTTCAATTTCTGGTAGGTGGACTGGCAATGTGTTTCAAACTGCTCCGATGTGCGCAAGCTTGTCAGGGCAATGCTCCTGAGATCAGCAGGCAAACACCAAAAAACTGTTGGTTGGCTACATGACTGCGGTCTCGACACTCTTGCTTGCCAGGTGGCTTTTTGACCAGCAATATATAAACGCGTTTGCGGCAAACAGGGTCGCCTAAGTGCCTCGCATCCACACGGATGTGGCACAACAAATAGTCTTTGCCAATCTCAGCCATCTCATCCCAGACCTGGGCTGGGCAGTTTTTTCAACCTTGTGAGTCTGACCCCACAACACATCAAAACATACTCCAAGTCACCCGATCCAAGACTTTCAGCAGCCCATATACGTTTTCAAAGATCCCCAAGAGAGGGGAGGTCCTGACAGGGTACAGAGTGACTCCCCCCAAACAGCCACCCGGCGTGCCTCTGCACCGCAGCCAAGCAGTCCCAGAAGCAGCGAGCTGCTGGCTCATCAAAAAGTCGGGATTCCTGACGAAGACCACTAAACCTGGGCGGGCCAATGGGGTGAGTGTGACCAGCTCCCAAACAAGACAAATACTTTTCTTGTTTGTGCCAGGTTGCGGCTGACAAGGAAAACCGCTCGTGTAGATCAAGGTGTCACCCAAGCCAGTGTAGTCTCGCTGGGACATGTCCACAAATAGCCTGAAGCAAGCTGACACCCGGCTGCTTAATTTGACAGGGGAGAAGAAGTATATCCAAGAAACCGGCGGGGTTTGCAGTTTTTCAAGATGAACTTCAGGGGCGCCAAAGCGCGATCCGTGCACGCTGTCAGCACCACCTGCTTGCAAGCCCAGGGGTGGACTGAGCAAAATTGCACAGCCCCACGAGCCTTCTCTTCGCCAAGCACTTCTTGCAGCGCCCAAAGAAATCCTTCAGCACCAGAGCCTGAGCTGGGAGACATACTTTCTGGTGAAATAATGAACCATTGACAAATAAGCCAAAATCTGAGCCCAGTTTGTTGGAGGTTGCTTGAGGAAACCCCAGCCATACTTTCAGGTGGCCCTTTGAAACCCTGAATGGTTTTGGGTGTGATTCCTTTTTACCGGGTTTCGATTGCGACCCAAATGGTGTTTGGGAGAAGGCTTCTTTTGCTATCCAAGCAACAGTCAGACATCAGGGTCCAAGGCACAGGAAGTGCTCGCAGGATTTCAGACACTCCTTGGCAAAGCCAAGGAAGCGGAACCTTTGAATCGAAACAGCTTTCTCGTTGCTATCAGGTCAAAACAAATCGACCAAGCTACTAGCACCTGCTCGTCGAACCATCTCGCAGCCCCACCCTTCCAGAAAAGCCAGGTGTTCTGGCTGAAGCTCAGGAGTTGGAAGCTTGATGTCTTCCCTTGGTTTGCAAAAGAGGGCTTTCAAAAACATGGGCATCCATGTTCAATTCTCACTCTCTCAATCTTGCTTTCAAGAAG